TTTCTCTTTTTGGGGTTTTTTGTTGTTCTCCCGCCCTGGCGGGGGGTCGGGCTAGAAGATCTACTAGGTCCCTTCCGACCCTTAATCTATGAATCTATGAATCTATGAAGTAGATATGCCAAGAGAAGAAGTGATGAGCCCAAGGTCAGTTAGCAGGTCAGTGGCAGAGTTGGGGGAAGACCCCAGCTCTCCTGACTGCTTCCTTCTGTCCTGTCTCTGTGCCCGCCCCTCCCTTGGTACATCAGGAGTTTACTCTCCGCAGACCTGCTTTCCTTTCTCGATCCCACCAACCATTAACTCCCCCATTGCCCTCACCCTGGCAGAAGGCAGAACCGCGGTCCCAGCCACCCTGCCGTGTGGGCAGTGTGCCCACCTGAGCGTTGACCGTGCACAGCTCTGGTTAGGGGCCGCGTCCTTCCCTCCCTTCTCAGCAGCTGTCATGGCAGAGCTCCCTGCACGCAAAGACTTCCTTGCCTGAGGCTTGTTATTTTGGATTGCCCTTATACTCCTGAAAATGACCATTTAATTAGCCCTTGTGAGGTTTCAGGGTTGAATCCCTGTGGCTTCCGGATCCAATTTGCTCATTTTTCAAGGATAACAGCTTCCCTCTCATCTGTAAATGCAACAAGCCCACCCACTCCGGCATCTGACAGGCTACCTAGACTCTTGCTGGCTCCTGCCTCAGACATATTCCAGGCCGGCGTGTGCTCTGCATTTTACAGGCTGTTTCCAGTGGAGGTGGATTGGGTACTGCTAGGGATGAATGTTCTTTAGCTGCCGGGTCCAAGCTCTCTAGAGAAGTGCCTCTCATTGCAGAATCGGGGCCCCCGTTCAGTCGGTGCGTGAATTAAAATAGCTTTTCTCCTACCTGGTAGCTGTGCTGGCTCAGCAGAGCTCAAAGGAGCAAAGCGTAGTATCAACTTGTAAGAGAATTATTTCTTCTCATGTATTTCTAGTGTCTGAATCGCCTCGGTGTCTAGGCAGCCCTTAGAAATACAGGGCATAATTCAGAAGTGACAGGAACTTGTCCGCGGGGTTACCAGGCGATGGTTCGGAGCAGCGGGCTCAAACGGGGACGGCTTTTCTCTCCAGCTCCTGCCTGGAGGAAGGGCTCTTTCAAGAGGGAATCACTGCGCAGGGAGAACGCGTCCCATTGCTGCTGTATCCATCAGCATAAAGATTATTAAGAGCCCTTCCTCCCCACCCTGTGTGACCGGGCTGCCTATTCCTGCTGACGAGAGAGTTTGTGAACTTTGCAACATAAGCTTGAGTTATTAAATATTTGTTGGACCAGAAGGTTGATGCGGGACAGAGTAAACATGTCTCGAGTAAACTCGAAATGAACTCCGCTCTCCATCCGCACAGTCACACAACCGGGGAGGGAAGGGGCCGGGGGGAGGCCCAGTGACAGAGGTGAGTGCCCGCCCCTCCTGTGAATTTTGTGTGAGCCTTATGTGTGTTAGTAGTGTGAAGACTAGTGAGGGGTGCCACGTGGAGGTCAGTGGTGGTAGAGTTATGCTGATTTACAGTCGCCGAGGAGCCAGCCCGACATCTGCTCTCGTACTCAGCCCTGAAAGTCCAGTGATATTCATCTTGCCTCTTGCGGTCCTTGCTAAGGGCCAGATAACATCCCCAGGTGGCACTGCTGGCACGCATGGGGTCATGCGCTGAGGCTGAGGGGAAAATCTTGCCCTTGGAAATGGACCCCAAGTGAAAAAAAAGACTTTTGGGTTTGAACTTTTCTTGGCATTTCTTACAAAGAGGAGGAAATTCTCACCTGGGCTTTAAACAGCCAGGGGGCAGAGGTGGGGGTTGGAGGCTAAGATAAAAGGGCAGGCACATACTCTGCTGTTGAAGGTCTGGCGTTTGTGACAAATGCAGCTGCCCCAGGAGCCCCGCTCCGCTGGGCTTGTTCATAGCTGGGGCATCCGTCTGCCTCGTGGAAAAGACGGGGATTTTGCTGCACACTGAACATTTATGCCAACATCGTGGTTGCTGCTGCGTCATGCAATACACTCCACTTTACACGGTTAAAGACCATTTCAGCTTTTAGGGGGTTTGGGTAAGAACAGGGGCAGGAAACTCCTTTCCTTAGGGAGTCTCTGAGTGTCTTCTTTTATTGTATGGAAAGCAGCAACACCAAGGAGTTATGCCTAGGATGTTTTGTTTGCAGTTCATGGGCCTTTGAACTTTACTGTCCTTAAATACTGAAACGTGCTCAGTGATCCCTGCCTCCCTTTCTTAGGTCTGGTGACAGGGTGGCTTTTCTTCTCTGCTACAGGTGGAGGATGCCTGGTGGTTAAAGTGGACGGGAGTAGAAGAGAACTAGGTTTTGTTCTCCCATTTACTCTGTGTTTCTGTGGGGCGAGGCCCTGAATATCCCTGTGCTCTCAGGGGGAGGGAGATGAATCCTTAACTTCTCTGTCTTGTTAGTTTAGGTGGACCCTTGGGATGCGGGGATGGTTTCTAGCCCGATGGGGCACCGCTCAAAGCCAGGGCTTCAGAGTCGTATCAAAAGACAACTCAAACTAATCCATCTACCACACTGTGATGTGTTTGCGTGTGTGTGTGGCTGGTTATTATTCTGGTGCACGATTTCTGCCTGGACTTCCAGCAGCGCTTTCAGGGGTGTTTCCTTTGTGCTGTTTTGTGAAGGGAGCTCAAAGATGAGAAAGGGAGGATTAGCAATTAAATATGCTCTGATGATAGTTTGGTTGTGAAGGAAGGAGGAGGGAAAATACTCCGTTGCGATAACATTTTGCTTTCTTCTCTCTCTCGCTTGTAGGACAAGATCTGCCAGGGGACTGGTGCTTTGAAATTGCTGGTGGCTCTGAATCCTCCATCCTTTGGGAATATAAATCTTGCTAACCATGTCGGCAGCCACGTGGAAATGGACTTGCCTGATTTCCCACCTCCTCCTGTCCACCATGACGTGGTCTTTTGCTAGGCAACAGCCGCCTCACCCAAAAAGACCCTTCATCACCTTTACAGGTGAGCAGGCAGAGGGGACTTTTAACCACTTGGTGGTGGATGAAAGAACTGGACATATTTACTTGGGAGCCGTCAACAGGATCTACAAACTCTCCAGCGACCTGAAGGTCTTGGTGACGCACCAGACCGGTCCGGATGATGATAACCCCAAGTGTTATCCCCCTAGGATAGTTCAAACCTGCAATGAGCCCTTGACTCCCACCAACAACATCAACAAGATGCTCCTCATAGACTATAAGGAGAACAGGTTGATAGCCTGCGGAAGCCTTTACCAGGGGATCTGCAAGCTCTTGAGGCTGGATGACCTTTTCAAGTTGGGAGAGCCCTTCCACAAGAAGGAGCATTACCTCTCTGGGGTGAACGAGAGTGGCTCTGTTTTTGGAGTCATCGTTTCTTACAGCAACATAGACGACAAGCTGTTCATCGCCACCGCTGTGGATGGCAAGCCAGAGTACTTCCCCACCATCTCCAGCCGGAAGCTAACCAAGAACTCCGAGGCTGACGGGATGTTTGCCTACGTCTTTCATGACGAGTTTGTGGCCTCCATGATCAAGATCCCCTCAGACACATTCACCATCATCCCTGACTTTGACATCTACTATATCTACGGCTTCAGCAGCGGCAACTTTGTCTACTTCCTGACCCTGCAGCCAGAGATGATCTCCCCGCCAGGCTCCACCACCAAGGAGCAGGTCTACACCTCCAAGCTGGTCCGGCTTTGCAAGGAGGACACAGCCTTTAATTCCTACGTCGAGGTGCCCATCGGCTGCGAAAAGAACGGGGTGGAGTACCGGCTGCTCCAGGCAGCCTACTTGTCCAAGGCGGGAGCCATCTTGGCCAGGTCCTTGGGTGTCAGCCAAGATGCTGATATCCTCTTCACGGTCTTCACCAAGGGGCAGAAGAGGAAAATGAAGTCGCTGGATGAGTCTGCTCTCTGCATCTTTGTCCTGAAAAAGATCAATGACCGCATCAAGGAGAGGCTGCAGTCCTGCTACAGGGGAGAGGGGACGTTAGATCTGGCATGGCTCAAAGTCAAGGACATTCCCTGTAGCAGCGCGGTAAGTCTCATGTCTAGCCAGCCAAGCTTAACTTCTCTGCATGCTTATTTATGCCAGGAGCATGTACAGCGTGGCGTAGCAATAGCAGCACGCAGCTAAGAGTGAGGGGGCTAGCAGGATCTGTTTTGCCTCCAGCTCACCATGCAACCCCACCGAACCTCTTCCTGCCTCAGTTTCCCCCCTTGTGAAAAGAGGAGAATATAGATTTCTTCTCTCCCAGGATTACTGTACTTATTCATGAATGAGTGCGTGGTGCATTGTGATCGTCAGGGGGGATCCTCCTGTTACAATTAGTCTACAATTTAACTTGGTGAAATCCTAAACTCTGCAAAGGACTAGCGCGAGTCTGAATTTAAATGGTTCTCAAGTAACACATAATCCCTGTTTGGTTTCCATTGTCTAAAGCTTTCAGACCCAGATCGTAATGACTGATGAGTCTGAACTATTTTGTGAGCTTTGTAAAAATGTGATTTGGTGCTTCCAGGGATATGAGGCATTCACCATTAACCCATTGAAATCCCCAGTCGTCCTGCCCACATCCAACTCTGCATTGTCTCTGTTCTGCAAAAGTAAGGGCTGGCTTGAGGAGTGAGGTCAGAGCCTAAAAGATTTGAGGGGAGAATTCAGGAAGGGTGGGGGTGGTCTCTGACCCAAAAAAAGGGCTTGTCTTACTTTGGCTTGGTGTCCCTAAGTAGGGACCAGAACAGCAACCTCCCAGCCGGGCCCCCTTCGGGCCCCGGGGGAGGCACACCTGGACCAAGGGTTAGCGAGGACTTAGTAAGGGAGCTTCTGGAGGGGCTGGATGTATTCAAGTCAGCCGGTCCGGATGATCTCCACCCTAGAGTTCTAAAGGAACTGGCCGAGGTCATTGCAGGTCCCCTGGCACGGCTTTATGAGCACTCGTGGTGCACTGGAGAGGTACTGGAGGACTGGAAGAGGGCCATTGTGGTTCCAATCTTCAAAAAAGGGAGGGAGGAGGACCCGGGAAACTATAGGCCAGTTAGTCTTATCTCGATCCTAGGCAAGTTGTTTGAGAAAATAATTCTGGCACACATCCAGGAGGGGCCAGC